ATATGATCTGTGCTGTTTTACACGTGTCATTATTCTAACCAGGAACAAGACCAAACCTAGAAAGAAAGAAAATCTTAGTAAGCACCCTCGGGATTGCGATTGAGAGAGAATTCTCTTCTCGATCTCTATCGTTTCTGCTACGCTTGTCGATTACGATTGAGAGAGAATTCTCTTCTCGATCTCTGCGTTTTTGTTGCGCTTATCGATTGCGATCTCCATCTCTTCCGTTTTTGCTGCACATTCTCTTCGCATTAAATGGCGTCTACAGATAGATATCTACCCTCCTCCAGATTTTGACTTGAACATTGGAGATAGCCTCAAAGCTGACGATTTTGATCATTTAATCTCATCTATGCGCGAAATCTTAGTAAGCACCCTCTGGATCCCACTAAGAGCAATAAAAACCTCAGGGTTTTAATTTTGACCGATGAAGAGGGGGCTTACATCAATTTGATGCTCCATATGGGTAACAAGATGGAAACTTTGTTTAGATTTCAAAAAAAATAACGTCTATCTCATTGGTTATTCAACTCTGAGAAAGGAGAAAGGAAAACCCATCTGATTTGAGCTACAAAATGGGGAGAATGTTTATTACATTTCAAATTCTACATTTCTTAGATTCTCTGGATCTTATATTGATTTAGAAAGAATGTTCCATAGTGCTTTATATGGGTAACAAGATGGAAACTTTGTTTAGATTTCAAAAAAAAATAACGTCTATCTCATTGGTTATTCAACTCTGAGAAAGGAGAAAGGAAAACCCATCTGATTTGAGCTACAAAATGGGGAGAATGTTTATTACATTTCAAATTCTACATTTCTTAGATTCTCTGGATCTTATATTGATTTAGAAAGAATGTTCCATAGTGCTTTATATGGGTTATAGGTGGGTAGCATGAAACCGAAACGTACCTGTTGATGACTAAGATCACAGTTGAAATAGAAACCCTAATTCATTATGATATCTCTTGGGCTTTATATAGGCCCCTACAAATCTTACAAATAAGTCCCTAATAATACTAATATGTCAACACTCCTCCTCAAGATGGGCGAAAGATATCTATTAAGCCCATCTTGTCACATCCTCTAATCATATCTACTGAGTTGAGTCCTTTAGTCAGACAATCTGCTGCCTGGTCCTTAGTCGAAACATGACTTAGCTCCAGTAGTCCACTATCCAACTTCTCTTTGATGAAGAACCTATCGATCTCGATGTGTTTGGTTCTATCATGCTGCACTGGGTTGTTGGCAATACTTATAGCTGACTTGTTGTCACACCATAACTTCATCTTATCTCCTTGATCCAGCTTCAGCTCCACCAGCATACTCTTCAACCATAGCAACTCAGCAACTCCTAAGGCCATAGCTCTATACTCTGCCTCGGCTGTCGATCTCGCCACCACTGACTGCTTCTTGCTCTTCCACGAGACTAAGTTACCTCCTATAAAGATGCAGTATCCTGAGGTGGACCTCCTGTCATCAGCACAGCTAGCCCAGTCAGAGTCGCAATAACCCTCGATGTTCACATGTCCATTCTTTCTGAATATCAGCCCCTTTCCGGGGGCACTCTTTAAATATCTCAGAATCTGGTACACAGCGTCCATATGACCCTTCCTCGGATCGTGCATGTAGCGACTCACCACGCTTACTGCAAAGGAGATATCAGGACGTGTGTGACTCAAATAGATCAGCCTTCCCACCAACCTCTGATATCTGTCACGATCAACTGGTTCTCCAGCCTCAGCACCTAGCTTGAACCTCTGGTCGATCGGTGTAGTTGCAGGTTTGCACCCTAACATTCCTGTCTCTTTGAGAAGATCCAGTGCATACTTTCTCTGGGATAGGATGATCCCTTCCGCTCCTCGAGCTATCTCTATTCCAAGAAAGTATCTAAGCAAGCCAAGATCTTTCACCTCAAATTCCTTACCCAGTCTCACTTTGAGTTGGGCAATCTCCTTCTCATCATCCCCTGTAATAATCATATCATCCACATATACCGCAAGCATAGTAATGTGGCCTCCACTCCGTCGAAAGAACACTGTATGGTCGGCGTTGATCTGTTGGTATCCCATACCAATCATAGCCCTTCTGAATCTGTCGAACCAAGCACGGGGAGATTGCTTCAGACCATAGAGAGACTTCTTCAATCTGCAGACCTTTCCCACTGTCTGATCTGTACCAAATCCTGGTGGTATCTCCATGTATACCTCCTCCACTAGATCTCCATGAAGAAATGCATTCTTCACATCTAGTTGGTGTAGCTTCCATCCACCATTTACTGCCAGAGAGATTAAGGTCCGAACAGTGCTCATCTTCGCCACCGGTGCAAAAGTCTCATCATAATCGATGCCATATGTCTGACTATACCCTTTTGCCACCAGGCGAGCCTTGTAGCGCTCAACTTGTCCATCTGGATTCTGCTTCACAGTGAAGACCCACTTGCATCCAACTGCTCTCTTTCCTTCTGGTAACTTTACTAGCTCCCAAGTGCGGTTCTTCTCTAGAGCTCCTAGCTCCTCGTGCATAGCCGCTTTCCATTTTGGGTCCTTCTTAGCAACCTGCCAATTGTTAGGTACAGTAACAGAGTCCAATGATGCAATGAATGCTCCATATGCAGGGTGGATACTAGAATATGATACATACTGGGCAAGATCCCAACCATATCTATCGGGAGGATGTCCCGCATTACTGCGAGTAGTCCTCCGTACTGATATTGGTGTGGGAGGAGTAGGGAGAGGAATGTTATCAGTAGGAATGTTATCACCTTGGGATGAAATTGGTGGTGGTGTAGGTATTTCAGGAGTCGGGGTGGGCTTTGGCAAGAGACTTGGCAGCACTAGTGGCACTGTAGGTACTGTTTCTCCAATTTGTTTGCCCTTCCTACTATAGGTTAGTAGCTCCCCCTGAACAGTGGGCCTAACACCTCTTGTCTCTTGTTCCTTTTCTTCGTGATTCTCCGGCTCCTCCTCAACCAACTCCTCCTCAACCAATTCGCCCTCCCAAGGAATCGATACAGAAATGGATTTCTCCACATTGTTCTCCGGTCTCTCACCATTCTCCTCCTCTCGCCCCATACTTCTAGTATTGGACGAGTTACCAGCAGATGAAGTTACCTTCTGAGTGTAATATGGCTCGAGTTCTCGAAAGTGCACATCCATGCTCACAAACAACCTTTTTTCCACCGGGCTCCAGCAAACATATCCCTTCTGAGTAGCAGAATATCCCACAAAGATACACTTCACAGCTCTAGGGGCAAGCTTCCCGACAGACGGCCTGTTGTCCTTCACAAAACACACACAGCCAAACACTTTGAGTGGAAGGATCCCACCATTATCTCCTTTCAATATCTCACACGGAGACTTCCAATCCAGCACTCTCGAGGGCATTCTGTTGATCAACGCTGCTGCGGTCAATACTGCTTGTCCCCATAATGTCTCTGGGACATTCATAGAGATCATCATGCTTCTAGCAACCTCTAAAAGATGTCTGTTCTTCCTTTCCGCTACCCCATTCTGTGCTGGAGTGTATGGACAGGTTGTCTGGTGATGTATTCCTTGAGCTGACAAATATTCTTCAAGGGCTCTGTTGGTATACTCTGTCCCATTATCTGACCTCAATACTTTCACCACTGCTCCGTATTGAGTCTGAACAGTCTTATGAAAATTTTGGAAGCACCCAAACACATCACTCTTATTCTTCATCAGGTATAACCAAGTAACACGAGAGAAGCAATCAATAAATGTAACAAAATATTTGTATCCATTCATAGAACTTGTGGAACAAGGCCCCCAAACATCTGAATGTACCAGGTCAAATGCATGAGAACTTCTATGACCAGAACTAACATAAGAGCTTCTAGTAAGCTTTCCCAACTCACATGCATCACACACAAGTTTCTGTTTATTTGCTTTCTCAAATAAAGAAGGATACAATCTACCTAAAACACTAAAGGATGAGTGTCCCAAACGCTGGTGATGGAGCATTAACTCATTTTCAGCACTCATTTTAGATCCTACTCCTGCTTCCTCTATGACTGACACCAATGCTGAATCCAGCCCTTCACGATCCAGATACCACAGTCCACTACGCCATGTGCCAGTCCCAAGTCTCCGCCCTGTCCCCTTCTCCTGGAAGATTACCTTGGGAATATCAAAAGAGACGATGCATTTTAGTTGGAGGATGATAGAACTAATAGATAAAAGATTGACTGGAAAAGAAGGAGCATGCAAAACATTGGACAAAGTTACAGAACCAGTACAATCAACTGTACCCTTACCAACCACCGGCTGAAATGTACCATCAGCTGTTTGAATACTATCAGGCGATGCTAAGTGAGTATATGATGAGAACTCACTAGCATTACCTGTCACATGACAAGACGCACCGGAGTCGACTATCCATGCTGATGATCTGTCAGGAGACATAGAAGCAAGAGCATGTATGTCATCAGTACCTTTGTTCGGATGAGCATAGGTAGCAGTGTTGCCTCTGACGAAGAACGAAGTAGATGCCTCCGCAGTCCCATTCCTCAAATCTCCATCCCCTGCTACTTGCTGTTTTTTCCTGAGTATCGTGAGGAGAGCACGATCCTCCTCTGTAAAGACCACCTCAGCTTCTTCTTCTTCTGCTACCGTCAGATTCGCCCGATTCCCTGCTCCTCTTCCACCTCGTCGACCCCCACGGCCACGACCACGACCTCCGAACTGTCCACGTCCACCCGAATCTCCATCCTTGGATGGCTTGGTGCAAGCATGCCGTAGATGACCCACCGCACCGCAGTTATAGCACTGTCGAGTCTCTCTCCTAGATCCAGTGTTGCTAGAGGCTGTCAGTGCTGACTTCACCACAGGAAGTCCACCTGTCCCCGCCTGCAGCCGAATGCGAGTCTCCTCCTGGATCATAGCAGAGATAGCCTCCTCAAGCGTGGGAATCTTCGGCTGAGCTAGGAGCAATGCAATTCGCTGAGCGAACTCTGATGTCAATC